ACCCTTAGCAGGATGCAGCGCACCCTTCATGCGACTCGCCGAATAAATCTCACGGCGGTTCGCGCGGTGATGTGAGAGCCTGGTCCGGTGAGAACCCGGCGTGCTCCGTCCCGGCTTTGTAGGGATGCGAGGTCAATGGTCTAACGACTACGGCATGCACGACTATGAGTACACCCCCCCTCCCCCCCCCCAAAGATTGATGTACTGTTGTCTAGTGAAAACGCGCTTACCGTGCCATTCCATGCCCTGTTCAAATCTACAACATGCTTACCTCGACCTTCTGGTCTTTCCGTGTCTCGCCCTAGCCAGAAAAACGCTTACCTCGGCCTTACGGTCGTTCCATGTCCTGCTCATCAGCCAGAAACACGCTTACCTTGACCTTCCTCTCAAATATACATACGCCTTTCCGTGCCCTGCTCAATCCTACAACATGCTTACTTCGACCTTCTGGTCTTTTTATGTGTGGTTCTTGCCAATAGCACGCTTGCCTCGGCCTTGCGGCCGTTCCATGTCCTGCTCAAAAGCTAGAATCACGCTTACCTCGACCTTCCTCTCAATCATGCCTTTCCCCTGCTCAAGCTTAGAACATGCTTACTTCGACCTTCTGGTCGTTCCATGTCTCGCTCTAGCCAGAAACACGCTTACCTCCGCCTTACGGCCGTTGCATGTTCTGCCCAAAAGCCAGAAACACGCTTACCTTGACTTTCCTCTCAAACATGCCTTTCTATGCCCTGTTCAAGCCTAGAGCATGCATACTTCGACTTGCTGCTCTGAACATGTCTCGATCTTGTCACAAACACGTGTACCTCGGCCTATCGTTCCATGTCCTGCTCGTAAGCCGGAGCATGCTAACCTTGACCTTAAAATCTCAAAACGTCTTCCCGTTCCTCTCTCAACTACCTTGTCCGCCAGCCAAAACAATAATCTGTCTTACTTAGTCAACGTTGTGCTTCTCAGGTGGGTGGGTGGGAAAGAGAACCGACGATGCTCTTGCTCCCTCTCTTCCTGTCCCCTTCTCTCGGCACTCTCGCTCCTTCTTGTTCCTCCTCTGTACTTCTATCCTTCTGGTCGTTCGCTACTCCTCCCCATTTGCTCATCTTGCTCCTTTGCGTTCGGATGTTTCTGTTGTGGGTAAGAGTGTATCTCTTTTTTTCCCTTCACTTTTTTTTTTCCCTTTGTACCTGCCCATATCATTTCCTGGTTGACCTGCCTACTACGTGAATCTTTTTAGTCGTTCTGACAAAACACCAGGTTGTACAACACAACCTTCCACTTTCTAGGAGGAAGTAAAACAAAAGTGACCAGAGAAATGATCTTGTGCAAAACGTTCTTGCTATGTAGCACCAAGGGGCACGTCGCTCGAAGCTAGAATTTCGATCAGATAGATAGTCTATGCATAATAACACAAAACGCACCTATCCTACAGAACACGCCCGCAGTTAGGAACCAAGGAGTTAAGAAATTGAGCCTTACATCATCAAAATTTAAGAACTTGAGCACAATTTGTGAGCTCGGTCAAGAACCCCTACACTCAAACCAATATAGCGATCATTCGTAGTATGACCCCAGGGAAATATGAAAAACCCCAGCCTCAGCCGAAACTATAATAGATCTTCTTAATCGCGGGCTCTTTCTGTACTTGTTGAAACGTTGTAACGACACCGCAACTTCTTTCACAGTCTGTGCTGTATCCGACACGAACGGACGCGTGCCGCATCGGGCGGTGTAAGCGGGCCCTCGTTGTACTTACTCTTCGCGCGCCTGCGTGCCTTTCTCATGGCCTTCAGTAGTTCACACCAAGACGTCCGCTCCGAATATTTCACGGTAATAGTGTCTCGACCTGTGACGGAGTGGGATTGAAGGGAAAGGCAGTGTAGAGTCAGGTCTACCTTCCAAAGACAAACCACTTGGGAGGGTGGGTGAGAACAAGAACCGTCAATGCTCTTGCTCTCCCTCTCAGTCTGTCTCCTCTCCGTATTCTCGCTTCCTTCTTGCTCCTTCTCTCTACTCTCCTCTCTCTACTCCTCCTGGATTGCCTGTCTTGCTCCTTTGCGTTCGGATGCTTCTTCTGTTGTGGGCAAGCCCATCTCTTTTCTTTTTCCTTTACTTTTTTTTTGTACCTGCCTTACCGGGCTATCTTATTGCTCCAGTGCCTACTTGGATCGTTCTAACCGTTCTGACAAAACACCAGGTTGTACAATACAACCTTCCACGTTTATCTGTGACTTCCTGAACAATGCCTTGCGTCGCTGAAAATGTCGGGTCTTGGAGATGGATCTCTCCTCCTCCTCGGCCCTTAATCCTACTAAGGCATCCACACGCTTCCTAAAGTAGTAAGAACTAGGCGACAGTAACCATATTCCGCTGGTCGCTCAGCTTGGACACAAAACCTCCCCGTCGCGAAGCCGTGTTCCTTGCTTCGGTTGTCTCTCGAATTCCTCTTCCTCTTCTTCCAACACCGCCCCATGCCAGGTCTTGGGTATTAGCCCTCACGTATGCCATAAATGCGTTCGACGACCACCTCCCTCCCTTCCGTAGTACGGTCTCCGGTCCCCCGTTTGCTGCCACCCTCGTCGCCCCACTTATCCTTCCTGAATGCAATGCAAACTCTTGCGGCTTGAGCTTCGCCCCAGCCCCATTTCCTTTGCAACCGATCTTATCCCCTTCGTCAGTTGTTCTGTCGCCTTTCCCATCTGCCATACCTCCCATGCGGGGAAACGCGCATAACTGTTGCGGTCTGTGTACCAATGGCAGGAGTAGGGGGCGTCGGGAGACCATCGTCCGGGGGAACGTAGTTCCTCGCGTTCTTGTCTTCGCCTTGGCCTTTCTAATAAGTGCGGCCGTTGTGATCCGCTGTGATAGCGGCGGCTTTTTTTGTGGTGGTAGGTTTTTTTTCGAGGGGTTTTGCCTTGAAGCCGGGTTTCCCCTCCATATATCACCATGTTGGTATTTTCTGATGTATCCAGGCGCGTTCTTGCCCCATTGATGGTTATTCACTTGCGTGAAAAACCAGGGAGGGTGTCCGAGGGTCTGCGAACATTGGTTTTGGGTACACGTGCTGGATGATTTGGTGTCACGCAGACTGGTAAGATTGCCGTTNGGCGGCTTTTTTTGTGGTGGTAGGTTTTTTTTCGAGGGGTTTTGCCTTGAAGCCGGGTTTCCCCTCCATATATCACCATGTTGGTATTTTCTGATGTATCCAGGCGCGTTCTTGCCCCATTGATGGTTATTCACTTGCGGGAAAAACCAGGGAGGGTGTCCGAGGGTCTGCGAACATTGGTTTTGGGTACACGTGCTGGATGATTTGGTGTCACGCAGACTGGTAAGATTGCCGTTTGGTAGAGGGCACCGAGATGATTCACGGGGCCCCTCCTTGCTGCGGGAGCTGGAGCCGCTCTCTGAGCACTTCCTCTTTCGTCTGTGTGAAGGACGGTCGTCTACCTCTCGTGAAATTGACACATCACCAAAACAGTTTCACCCGATAAATAAGTGGCGTAGGCCACAAACAAAGACAGTCACCATCAAAGACAGCCACTACCCTAGCCCCTCTTCGCGGCCGCGGGGGTGTTTGATTGTTCCGATACATGGGTTTCCGCTGGTTCTTGAGGCCTATTATTGAGGAAATCTGCGAATATTAGAATGTACTGGAGTACTGGCTGCTGACGCAGCCAGTGCATATGCACTGGCAGTGCATGTGCACTGGCAGTACGTACTGGTTCAGGATCCAACCCTACTAGAAACGCACCGCAAGAGCTGCCCACAAGTCCCGAAGGTTGGAGGATGCGATGTCGCGCCGGCAGTGTCCACCGGCCGCTTTGTATCCCGTTGCCTATCAACCCTCTCTGTGTGGTAAGATTTTCCGCGCCATTGGCGAGCTCGTGATCTACCAACGCGCACAAGAGATGTGTGTTGGCTGGACGGGGGTGAACGGACATCCTGCTGTGGTGTATGTGTCATGACCTTCAGCACTAGCACTACCACATCTGGAAACACCAGCGCCGTCACGATGGCGGCGCCACTCTTGGGAACACCGGAGGTGGCGTAAACCTGACGGTGGGCAGCGGATACACCGGCAAGGGCGGTCCGGTCGAGATTGAAGCCGGTGAGTCGAACGAGGCCACCGGGAGACCGGTGATCATCACCAGGGGTGAGGGCACGGCGTCCACCAGAGGCGCGATGGCCATGCGATCGCCCAACGCCGGCGCCGAGGGTGTGAGAGGCGCCATTGTGATGGGCGAAGGCACCACCAGCGCCGGCACCAGCGGTATGATGAGCACGGGAAGTTTCGCTGCCCTCCGGAAGCCGGTGGAGCGGTGAGTCTCACGGTGGGCATCGGTCCCTACGCCACGGGCGGGACGCTCACGTTAGCGGCCGGCACGTGCGTGGACAGTGGTCCAGGGTGGATGTTGCCCGAAACCGGCACCAAACAAGTACGGGCTAGTCGGGGAGTCTGGCGGCGGGCGCAGGGTCGAACGGTGGATCGCTCACGGCGATATCGTCCATGGGCGCGTCGATCACGGTGACCGCTTGTGACGAAGTGACCGACGGCGGCAACTTGATGACGGCAGCTGAATGATATGTTTCAGCGATGATCTTGTTGCTGCGTAGAGCGGAGCCGTGACGGACGGAAATAATTCCACCATCACCATCGTCTCCACCAGCGCTAGACCAACGGGGCATTGCTGTGTCATGACCTTCACCTCCGACCCTACAACGCCAGGAATCACTGGCGCCGCCCGAAGCGGTACATTGTAGCGGCACCGCTCTGGGGGACACCTGAGGTGATCTGAACCTGACGGTGGGCAGCGGAAAAAGAAGCGAGGGCGGCCGGTCGAGACAGCGGCAGGTGAGGTGCCTGCGGCCACCGGAGGATCGGTGACCATCACCAGCGGCGATAGCACGGCGACCACCAACGACGCGATCACCGTCCGATCACCCAACGCCGGCGCCGAGAGCGTGAGCGGTGTGGTTGTGTTAGACTCAGGCAACACCACCTCCGACACCAGGAGTATTTTTCGCAGGGGAAGTGGCGCGGCTACCCCGGGAGCCGGCGGAGCGGTGAGTCTACCGGTGTGCACCAGCGTCTACACCCGGGGTGGGAAACTCACGTAGACGGCCGGCACAGGCATGACGGGATGGTTCTGTGTGAACGACCGGGACAGGGACCACGTCCACCGGCGGGTGGATTTGTCTGGCGGCGGGCGCAGGGTCGACGGGTGGAATGTTCATGGTTGTGGCCGGGCAGGGCAGACGGTGACGGCGGGTGGTAGGCACGCTGCGTGTGGTGACGTGAGTATGACGAGCTGTTACCTGTGTATTTCATCAGAGACAAGCGGTCAAGCTATCCGGGGTACAATTACCATGGTAGCTGGCACGGGCGACACTGATGGTGGACCTGTTGCTGTGTCGAGCGGGGTCGTCACCACCGGTAACAACGACACCGTCACCATCGTCTCCGACAGCGCCGGACCAACAGGCCCCAGCCATGTCATGACCTACAGCTCTAGCACACCGCGTTTGGAAACACCGGCGCCGTCGCGATCGGCAGCGGCGCCGCTCTGAGGGGTACCCGAGGTAACCTGAGCATGACGGTGGGCGACGGAGAAACCAGCGAGGACGGTCTGGTCGAGGTGGCGGCCCGTGAGTTGCCCGCCGCCACCGGAGGATCGGTGACCATCACCTGCGCGATCACCATGCGATCGCCCAACGCCTACTACCGAGGACGTCATCGGGGCCATTGCGGTGAGCTCGGGTAACATCAGCTCCGGCTCCAGCGGTTCGGTGCTCATCGGATGTGGTACGGCCACGCCGAGAGTCGGCGGAGCGGTGAGTCTCACGGTGGGCACCACCGCTATATCACCGGCGGCACACCTATGTTGGCGGCCGGCACGGACGTGACAGGCGGTCCTGTATCGATAATGACCGGAACCGGCACCGAACTATGGCCTGGTCGGGGAGTCTGGCGGCGGGCACAACGTCGACGGGTGGATCGTTCGCGTTGGCATTGTCGACGGGCGCGGCGACCACGGTAACACCGAGTGAAGAAGGGACCGACGGCGGCGACTTGATCATGACAGCGGGATGTGTTGGTTTCAGTGGTGACCTTGTCGCTGCGTAGAGCGGAGCCGTGACGGACGGAAACAACGCCATCGTCACCATCGTCCTCGCCAACGCCGGACCAACGGGTCATGGCCGTGTCATGACCTTCACGTCCGGCTCTACCACGTCGGGAAACGCGGCTGCCGTCCGAAACAGTAGTGGCGTCACTCCAGGGGGCACCCGAGGTGGTCTGAACCTGACGGTGGGCAGCGGAAACATCAGCGAAGGCGGTCCGGTCGAGATATCGGCAGGTGACACCGGAGTATCGTGACCATCACCAGCGGCGATAGCACGGCGACCACCAGCGGCGCGATCACCGTCCGACCTCCCAACACCGGCACCGAGGACGTGAGCGGCGCTGTTATGTTGTGCTCAAGCACCACCGCCTCCGACACCAGCGGTACGATGCGCAGAGGAAGTGACGCCACCACACCGGGAGCCGGCAGAGCGGTGAGTCTACCGGTGTGCCCCAGCGCCTACACCGCGGGCGGGACACTCACGTTGGCGGCCGGCACGGGCGTGACGAGTGGTCTTATGTCAACCGGGGCCGGAACCGACACCAAACAACCGCAGACTGGTCGGTGAGTCTGGCTGCGGGCGCGGCGTCGACCGGTGGATCGTTCACGATGGTGGCCGGGCGGGGCACATCATCAATGGGCGAGACGATTACGGTGATGGCGGGTGTAGAAGGGACGAACGGCGTCGCCTTGGTCACGGCAGCTGAACGTGTTGGTACCAGTGATGAACTTGTTGCTGCATCGAGCGGGGCCGCTACGGACGGGAATAACGTAAACATCGCCATCGTCTCCCACAACGCCGGACCAACGGGCCATTACCGTATCGTCATCTTCACCTCCGATAGCGCTGCCGCTCTGAGGGGTACCCGAGGTAACCTGAGCATGACGGTGGGCGACGGAGAAACCAGCGAGGACGGTCTGGTCGAGGTGGCGGCCCGTGAGTTGCCCGCCGCCACCGGAGGATCGGTGACCATCACCTGCGCGATCACCATGCGATCGCCCAACGCCTACTACCGAGGACGTCATCGGGGCCATTGCGGTGAGCTCGGGTAACATCAGCTCCGGCTCCAGCGGTTCGGTGCTCATCGGATGTGGAACGGCCACGCCGAGAGTCGGCGGAGCGGTGAGTCTCACGGTGGGCACCACCGCTACATCACCGGCGGCACACCTATGTTGGCGGCCGGCACGGACGTGACAGGCGGTCCTGTATCGATAATGACCGGAACCGGCACCGAACTATGGCCTGGTCGGGGAGTCTGGCGGCGGGCACAACGTCGACGGGTGGATCGTTCGCGTTGGCATTGTCGACGGGCGCGGCGACCACGGTAACACCGAGTGAAGAAGGGACCGACGGCGGCGACTTGATCATGACAGCGGGATGTGTTGGTTTCAGTGGTGACCTTGTCGCTGCGTAGAGCGGAGCCGTGACGGACGGAAACAACGCCATCGTCACCATCGTCCTCGCCAACGCCGGACCAACGGGTCATGGCCGTGTCATGACCTTCACGTCCGGCTCTACCACGTCGGGAAACGCGGCTGCCGTCCGAAACAGTAGTGGCGTCACTCCAGGGGGCACCCGAGGTGGTCTGAACCTGACGGTGGGCAGCGGAAACATCAGCGAAGGCGGTCCGGTCGAGATATCGGCAGGTGACACCGGAGTATCGTGACCATCACCAGCGGCGATAGCACGGCGACCACCAGCGGCGCGATCACCGTCCGACCTCCCAACACCGGCACCGAGGACGTGAGCGGCGCCGTTGTGTTGGGGCTAAGGTACGACAATCTCCGGCCCCAGCGGTTCAGTGCTCATCGGAAGTTGACCGGCCGCGCCGGGAGTGGGCGGAGCGGTGAGTCTCACGATGGGAACCGGCGCCCACAACACGGGCGGGACACTCACGTTGGCGGCCGGAACGGGCGTGACAGGCGGTCCTGTGCCGATGGCGGCCGGAACCGACACCAAACAACCGCGGACTGGTCGGTGAGTCTGGCTGCGGGCGCGGCGTCGACCGGTGGATCGTTCACGATGGTGGCCGGGCGGGGCACATCATCAATGGGCGAGACGATTACGGTGATGGCGGGTGTAGAAGGGACGAACGGCGTCGCCTTGGTCACGGCAGCTGAACGTGTTGGTACCAGTGATGAACTTGTTGCTGCATCGAGCGGGGCCGCTACGGACGGGAATAACGTAAACATCGCCATCGTCTCCCACAACGCCGGACCAACGGGCCATTACCGTATCGTCATCTTCACCTCCGATAGCGCTGCCGCTCTGAGGGGTACCCGAGGTAACCTGAGCATGACGGTGGGCAGCGGAGAAACCAGCGAGGACGGTCTGGTCGAGGTGGCGGCCCGTGAGTGCCCGTGGCCACCGGAGGATCGGTGACCATCACCCGCGGTGAGGGCGCGGCGACCACCAGCGGCGCGATCACCATGCGATCGCCCAACGCCGGCGCCATGGGCGTGAGCGGCGCCATTGTGTTGGGCTCAGGCACCACCACCTCCGCCACCAGCGGTATGATGCGCACGGTAAATTGCGTGGCCGCGCCGAGAGCCGGCAGAGCGGTGAGCCTCACGGTGGGCACCGGCACCTACACCGGGGGCGGGACGCTCACGTAAACGGCCGGCACAGGCATAACGGGTGGTCCTGTGTGTATGGTAGCCGGAATAGGCACCACGTCCACTGGCATGTCGGTTTGTGTGGCAGCGTGCGCAGGGTCGACGGGTGGATCGTTCACGGACGGTGGTGGCCGGGCGGGGCACGTCTTCAACGGGCGGAGCGATCACTTTGACGGCGGGTGGTGGAGACACTATGATCGGGCCGGATGACTCCTGTGTAGGCGGTTGACTCAGAATATCAGCAGGGACAAGGGGTCAAGCTATCCGGGGTGCAATGACATGGTAGCTGGCACCGGAGGCACTGGTGTTGAACTTGTTGCTGTATGAAGCGGGACCGTCAACATCGTATCCGGCAACGCCGGACCTACAGGTCATAGCCGTGTCATGACCTGTAGCTCTGGCACAACCACGTCAGGATACACCAGTGCCATCGCGATCGGCAGCGGCGACGCTCTGCGGGACACCGGGAGATATCGGAACCGGACGACGGGCAACGGATACACCGGCGAGGGCAGTCTGGTCGCGACGGCGGCCGGTGAGTCGACCGCAGCCGCCGGAGGATCGGTGACCATCACCAGTGACGAGGGCTCGGCGATCACCAGTGGCGCGATCACAATCCGATCGCCCAACGCCGGTGCCTAGGCCTGAGCGGCGCCGTTGTGTTGGGCTCAGGTATCACCAGCTTTGGCCCCAGCAGATCGGTGGTCATCAAAAGTGGCGCGGCCACGTCGGGAGCTGGCGGAGCGGTTGGTCTCCTGGTGGGCACCAGCGCCTACGCCACGGGCGGGACACTCACGTCGGCGGCCGACATTGGCGTGACAGGTCTCCGGTGCCCGGAACCGGCACCAAACACTACGCGTTAACCGGTGAATCTGGCGGTGGGCGCAGCGTCATCGGGTATTTCGTTCACGGCGACGTCGTCCACGGGCCCGGCGACACGGTGACCGCGGGTGAGGGCGGGACAGACGGCCTTGCCTTGATCATGGCAGCTGGATATGTTGGTACCAGTGGTGGATTTGTCGTTGCTTCGAGTGGGGTCGTGACGGACGGGAACAAGCCTATGTCACCATCGTCTCCACCAACGCCGGCAAAGCCAGACCAATGGGCCATACCCGTGTCATGACCTTCAGCACTGGCACGACCACGTCGGGAAACACTGGCGCCGTCAGAGACAGTAGTGGCACCGCTATGGGGGGCACCCGAGGTGACGTGATCCTGAAGGTGGGCAGCGGACACACCGGCGAGGGTGGTCTGGTAGAGGTTGATGCCGGCAAGTCGACCGCGGCCACCGGGAGATCTGTGACCATCACCAACGGCGCGGGCACGGCGACCACCAGCGGCGCGATCACCATCCGCCGGCCCAATATCGGCGTTGCGGGTTTGAGCGGCGCCATTTTTTCATGCTCAGGCACCACCGACTCCGGTCCCAGCGGTATGGTGCTCATCGGCAGTGGCGCAGCGATGTCGGGAGCTGGCGGAGCGGCGAGTCTCACGGTGGGCACCGGCGCCTACACCACGGGCGAGACTCTAACGTTGGTGGCCGGCACGGACGTGACAGGCTGTCCTGTGTCGATGGCGGCCGGAACCGGCACCACGTCCACGGGTTCGTCGGTGAGTGTGGTGGCGGGCGCAGGGTTTATGGGTGGGTCATTCAGGGTGGTGGCCGGGTGGGGCACATCATCGACGGGCGGAGCGATCACTTTGTGTGGTGACGTGAGTATGACGACCGGGCCGGGTGATTCCTGTGTAGGCTTTCACCTGTGTATACCAGCACGGACAAGCGGCCAAGCTATCCGGGGTGCTTTTTACCTGTGTATACCAGCACGGACAAGCGGCCAAGCTATCCGGGGTGCAATGACCAAGGTAGCAGGCACTGGAGACACTGGTGGTGGACTTGTTGCAGTGTCGAGCGGGACCGTCACCACCGGGATTACCGGGACCGTCAACATCGTCCGACAACCCCGGATCAACGGACCACAGCCAGCGCAGGCCTTACCACGTCGGGAAACACCGGCGCCGTCGACATCGGTAGCGGCGCTGCTCTGGGGGCACTGAAGGCGAATTGGACCTGACGACGGGCAACAGAAACAACGGCGAGGACCTGTCTAGTCGAGGTGGCGGTCGGTGAGTCGACTGCGGCCACCGGAGGATCGGTGACCATCACCAGCGGTGAGGGCACGGTGACCACCAGCGGCACGATCATCACCCGATCGCCCAACGCCGGCGCCGAGGGCGTGAAAGGCGCCGTTGTGTGGGGCTTAGGCACCACCAGTTCCGGCACCAACGGTATCATGTGCACGGGCAGTTGCGCGGCCAAACCAAGAGCGGCGAAGCGGTGAGGTTCACGGTGGGCACCGGGGCCTCCATCACAGGCAGGACGCTCACGTAGTTGGCCGGCACAAGCAAGACGGGCGATCCTGTCGATGGCACCCGGAACCGGCACCACATCCGACTGGTGGCGGGTGCAGAGTCGACAGGCGGATCGCTCACGGTGGTGGCTGGACAAAGCACGTCGTCGACGGGCGCCGTGATCATCCGCTGGAGAAGGAAGGGCAGACGGCGGTGCCTTGATCATCGCAGCTGACTACGGTGGCACCAATGGGTGGGCGTGTTGCGGTGTCGCGTGTTGCGGTGTCGAGTGGGGCCGTCACGACTGGGAACTGCCGGACCGTTACCATCGTCTCCGCCAACGCCGGGCCAACGGCCCATAGCCGTGCCATGACCTTCATGTTTGGCACAACCACGTCAGGCAACACCGGCACCGTCAAGATCGGCAGCGGCGCCGCTCTGGGGGCCACCGGTGGCGATAGGGCTCTGGCGGAGGGCAGCGGAAACACCGGAGAGGCCGATCTGTTCGAGGGAGCCGCCGGTGAGTCGATCGCGGCCACCAGGAGATCGGTGAACATCACCAGCGGCGATGGCACCGCAAACACCAGCGGCGCGATCACTATCCGAGATCGTCCTATGTCTGTTACCTAGGACGTCAGCGGGGTCATTGTGCCGAGCTCGGGTACCATCAAATCCGGCTCCAGCGACTCGGTGCTCATCGGAAGTAGAGCGCCCACGTCCGGAGTTGCCGGAGCGGTGAGTGTCACGGTAGACACAAGCGTCCACACCACGGTCGGGACACTCGCGTTGGCGGCCGGCACGGGCTCGACCGATGGTCCTGGGTCGATGTAGCCGAAGCCGGCATCAAACATCTACCGGCTGGTCGGTGAGCCTGGTGACGGGCATGGCCCATTGGTCCGGCGTTGGCGGAGACGATAATGATTTTCGCGTTGTTCCGGTCCGTCACGACCCCGCTCGACGCGGCAACAAGGTCACCACTGGTACCAACATACCCAGCTGCCATGCTCAAGGCGCCGCCGTCCGCCTACCCTTCGCCCGCCATCACCGTGGTCGCCGCGCCCGTGGACAATATCACCATAAGCGATCCACACCGCGTCGGGAAACACCGGGGCCGTTGACAAAAGCGGCGTCGCTCTGGGAGGCGCCCGAGGTGATCTGAACCTGACGGTGGGCAGCAGAACGGCGGTACGGGCGGTCTGGTCGAGGTGGAGGCCGGTGAGTCGACCTCGGTCACCGGGAGATCGGTGACCATCACCAGCGGCGAGGGCACGGTGACCACCACCGGCGCGATCACCATGCGAGTACAAAAATGCCGAACAAGTCGGGAAAGAGTGGAAACCGAAAAAAAAGAGCGCCAACGAAGCCGAAAATATGGAAAAACAGAAAAAATGGGCCAAGGATTCCAAGAAAAGGAAACAGAAAAGAAACGGACAACGAACGGAGAATAAGCCAAAGAAGACAAAAATACCAAAGGGAGCCACGACCACGACGGCGACGATTGCGGACGCAAAAGGCGCGGCGATGGCGTCAACAAGCACGTTGCTACGTTGCACTTCTGACAAAAGGTGGGTAGGGACACGGTGGCGGAAAAAGTGCTGCTATCTGTAGAGTCTAAACAGCACCATTCCTGACTTGGTCGCCGTCAAGATGGGGCGCTACATCACTCACGCAAACGAGCAGAACCTTGAGAAAAGACCAACCTCTTTTCGGGTTGTTAATCCACCACCCTCCACCATCCCTTCGATACACCGTCTTACATTTGCAGGGACACGACCCTTCCGGGAAACCGAGACAAATCAACGACGAGAGGGAGGTGCTGCTTCCATTTTGGCCACCATCCCGTCAACTGGAACAACCTGCGCAACTTCTTCGGGATGGAACAGCAACAGCAGCAAGAAGGGTGACCACAAAGGCAAGACAATAAGCAAGCTCTGGAAGGAGATGAATATTTCGCAGATGTTCTTTGTGCGGACGTCTATCTCGGGAGACTTTCACAGGGTCGGCCATGGTTACGCTGAAAAGCTAGCTGTCTGGTACTTGGTTCACGCAGCAACATGCCCCTGCCGTTTTCTTTCACAATCGATTGCCGCTTGCCGTTCACCACGCGCTCATGATACTAGCACACCACCCCTCTAGCCGGACACGGTGTGGTTTTGTTTTTCCAGCACTCGAAACGTATTTGTGTACTAGAAGGACGAGCAGTGCTCTTTTTCGTCGTGTAAGCGTATTTGCCGAAGCATAACCTTCGTTTACATACGACGAGTGATGCGCCCGTGTCTAATAATGCCTCCAGCTTCGCAAGGTCGAGCGCAACGCCACACCGATCTCTAGAACCCCTTTTTCGCCACGGCCACCGCTTCGTATGTTGAACCCCCGCACCCTTGACCCCTTACAGGACAAACCGGTGCTAGGTTGACGCGTCACGGTCTGGGCAGGCGTCCATCGTTTTGCTGACCGGACTGGCGCGCAAACGTCGACGATGATGCTCGTGCCAATCGAATCTCATCATGCTTGTGCCGACATCGGGCGCGGCCTTCGGGGAGCCCGGGAGTACGTCGGGGGCCGGAACGGAGCTCGTCGTCGGTCTGGCGCAGGAGGTGTTTCGATCTTGGCGGGGGCAGGGGGGTTAAGGGGTCGATGGCCGTACCGCTCTAGCAGGCCGGGGGAGCTGTAGTTTAGGAGAACTCATGACGCCGACAAGAGCGGGACCCGGGGCGGGCCTTCTGGCCGTGAGGTAAGAACAGCGGCAATCGCGGTGTGTGGACGCAAAGGCCGGCCCCCTTGATACGCGCTCGACAGGTATTGGGATGTGGTCTTTGTGTAGCATGTTGTAGGCTCGTTGCAAGTGGATGGCGGCGTTCTGAGGCCAGGCCTGAGGTCTGCCGCTGCCAATGCTGCTGTTGCTGCTGCTCGCTGCTGCTGCTGCTGCTGCTGCTGCTGCTGCTGCTGCTTGCTGTGCGTGACGTTATTATTTGTATACATAGGACCATCCTCATTCGCAACATCGGGAATATCATCTAGGATGTGCACGCCACACGTACTATTATTTTTGTTGTGGTGGCGCTGTTAAATATTTTTGGCTACTGACCTGTATGACACCATTTCCCACTATTTATTGCTTTGCTCGCGATTTCCCCGTCACCCTCACACTTGGTCCTACGGGTGGAAAACAAGGTCGTGCGAACGCATGCCGGTGTTTTTCGTGACGGAACGGGCGACAGCGAGTCAAACTCCCATCTTTCGGGCACGTCACTACAACAACCGCCACAACAGCATCAGCAGCGGCAATATCAAAACGACGGCACGAACGACATCAACGACAAAACGAAAAGGATGTCCGCAACAACCACAACGACATCGCAACCCGATTGTACATCGATAACAGCCGCCTGCAAGTGGCGTTACGTGCCGGGTGGTCGTCGAGCCATAGCGATCGCTTCGGTATCACGGATGCTTTTCGGTGCGTGTACCTGGCTCCTTGCGTCGACCACGTGTGCGCCCCTACAACGCGGTTATATTCTGCATCCGTTCGTGCAGCATGTCCAAATGGCTTCTGCCACGAACACACTTACCGTACCCTGTGTCACAACGGCTACCACTCAAAGCTTACCATTGCAGCGCATGGCTTGCGTTTGTCGATGATATGTTCCATGCATACCGCAATATCACGTTCTATCCCGTGCGTTTTTCTCGAAACTGAGCATCATACCGCATGCATCTCATAGGTTCCCATGCCTTCCATCTGCGTGTTCTACAGTAACGACTAACACCACGACGTCTCGCGTGCGGCCATCCGTTTCTGCCAGTAGATGTGGACAGCATCGCGTAAGCAGGGCAAGGAAATTAGAAGGTGCAGATCGGAACGGTTAGTAATGCGAAAACCAAAACAGCAACAACGACGACGACGACGACGACGACGACGACGACGACGACATTCATCGATGTCATCGCCTTGGCTAGATTCGACGAGACGCACCCCGACGACAGGAAAAAACAAAATGAATGAGTGAATTGAAGAAGGGAGCCAACAACCTCGAACGAACCCTCTCTGTTGGGCGGGGGTGTTTGTCCCGTGTGACACATTTTGACTTGGCGCCAGTTCCAGGTTCGGCTGTTGTTATCTTTAGCGGGCATCACGGTTTTCTTGTGAGTGAAGACCCGCGGAAGGAAAACTAGTTTTGGTTGGGTGGTGTGTATAGGCTGGCGTGTCACTATGGACGTCAACAGTGCTTCACCCTAGGTTGTCGATTGAGTTGGGTTGGTGGCAATCGTGCGATGGACGGGGCATGCCTTCGTTCTCTGAGAAGAGGGGACGGGGATGGACAGGGCGAACAATCGACCGGCTTGATAATGATAGTATTGAAGTCAGTTGAACGGGATAGGCGGTCGGGTGATGTCGTAGTAACAATGAGGCAAACGAACGTGCAAGGTGGGAAAAAAGGCCATGTAATTGGTTTCTTCCCTTTGTTGGGTCTTCATCAGAAAAAAAGTGAAGGTGGAAAGAGAGAGAGGCGATCGGGGCTCGCGTGAAGCCATTCTGCGCACATTGGGTTTTGGCGTGGCTCACGGTGCAGTAGTGCTTGTTTGGTGTTCGGCCTGTTCGGGGCCATTCAAGTCTACTCTTTCGCGTGTACTCGATTGGTTTTGGGGGAATGTTGAAACCGCTGCAGTTGTGTGCAGACAGCCGCACAGGATTGCCCACTGACCAGTCATTATTACTTGGTGGCACACAATAAGACTACCTGTTGTTTTGCGCGATATCGACGGCCATTAGCACCATTTCGCACCATGTCGCCAGTTGTCTCAGCAACTGTTACTGGAAGTACGCGAATCATTGACGGAGGAACTTGTTTGGAAATATACATAATTTTGGGGATGGAAGCGATTCTTCTTGTGAGGGTCGAGTGACGCTTGCTGAATACATGTGCATACTTCAGCTTTTTCCATCCGTTGAAAATCAAAACGTCATCGAGGAAGTCGAAATGTCGGTGTTCGCACCGGTTCCGTTGGCGGAGAGATAACCTCGACGTGATCGTTCCAAGATATGATACTAGCGATGGGAGGGAGTGTTGTACTGTTTCGGGACGTTTTCATTTATTTGTGATGGAGGAGAGAGCGTACTGCTTGGTCGAGCGAGAGTTAGGAGGTAAATATATCCATTGTTATTAGTAAATCTGAGTCGGAAGGGAGAGAAAGAGGGAGAAGGTGTGGGGGTTAAAGTATTCGTGCGAGACGGCGGAGACTGTAGGAAATAGAACAATGAAAAGAGGCAGGCGACACTGACTGACTGGTGTGTGCTCGAGAGAGAGAGAGGGAGAGAGAGAGAAAGAGAGAGAGAGAGAGAGAG